AGCTGTGAAACTAGCGAGCGGAAAATCCCTGCGAAAATCAGATCCAGCTATTGGAAACAATTCTTCCAAGCAACCCAAATTTTTAAAAGCAGTGTTACAATTCACGATTTTAACAATATCATAAAGTAGGATCAGAGAAAAGAAGAACGTGCGCGATAAACCAACAAGAAGCGGCAATCTTTCTTTTGGACAGTCTCACTAAAACAAAAACAGGAAACCAAAAAAATCTCAAAACCTTCACCAAAGAAAATAAGTTCCAATCGCAAAGTGTCGAAAAAAGAACTTCTTCTCAAGTTATTTAGTCGAAGACGATTTTTTTGTAACCTTTTGACACTTCTGACTTCAGTGCTTGGGAATGCACCGTAGGCGGTTTTGCTTGTAGGGACTTAGACAGGGAAAAGCTTGTTGAGGATTTCAACAACTCAATGGCACATCATAACAAAGAACCCTTTCCAATATCTAGCCAAAATGAACCGGAATATGTAGACTCAGATTGGAACTCAGAGTACAATCAACAGAATTCCCGATAATCATCATTCCCGCACATATCCCAAATCGTACCGGACTGGGATACCCATAACAGATTGTGGGCCTACACAGCCGAGAGTCCACAAAATAGACGACGATTCTCCTAGATATCCCGGTTTACGAAGTGTCCGACTCACAAGAACAAATTAACCAAATGTTGACTAGACCAGGACAAAAAATTGGACCAAAAAACGACTGGACCTCAAAAATTTAAAGTGAAAAGTTGTTTGTAGATAATGTAGGTGAGCAAGCATTTGGGAAGCGCAGAAAACTCGTATCTTCTCAGCAAAGCGGAGTCAGTGACATCATTTCGGAATCACTCTAGTCTCGCAATCTGTTAGTCAACCTAACCCCATGTTCTCGGCTGTTCCGACAGAGATAATTCCCGAAGCAAGGACCTTCACCGAGAAAGATGTACAGAAGCTACTTACCTCTTTACCGCCTTCGGTGGTAGAAAATTGCGAGGCATCAGACATCGATTCAGATCATATAAAACAATGTGACCATTACCTAAAGGACAATTCTACTGATTCTAAAAATTAAATTTTATTTTAATCCAAAACCTTTTCTGGAACATTTTTTTTGATTTCTTAAGAAAGTTTTAATCTCCAAAAAGTGGCTTCCAAAATTTTTCTCCATCGATTGAATTGAAACTATTTTAATACTTTTGGACTTTATAAGGCACTACTCGTTTAATAAACATGTACAAGTTTAGACTGAAAACGAAAAATTTAGACTGAAAACTAAAAACTTCTTGAGAACCAATTTTTTTTCTCAAGACTCGGAAAATTTTTTAGCTACATTCAAATCACGACTGACAGAACTTATAATTTTTTTCTTTAACTCAATCCATGAATCATTTGTGGTTCCTGCATTTGCGTAAAAAAATAAAAAAACGATCGAAGACAAAGTTTCTCCCCATATTAAAAACTTAGGGCATCACAGGCAATATTTTGTTGAAATCGTCAATTTGTCACTATTAGGAAAGCGATAATTCGTAATTTAGTCAAGATTATTTGAAATTTTTCCCCACTAAAACTTTGTTGTTCTGTGTAAAAGATTTTTTTATTTGAGTTTCTCATCAATTAACGTAGAAGTTCCAGCATTGTTCTTGATCAACTAAAAAACTCCAAAATTACCCATTTCCAAAATGACCCAATTTCGGGAAACCAATTGCACCATAACAAGCAGTTCTTGTGGAACTCTGTGCAACTTTTGTTATCTTACCCCAATTTGAGAAATAAAGCGTTAAAATTTTCCAATGTTGTTCGTTTTTTCCGGTTAATTTAAATGAGCACTGTCACTGTACTGAAAACGGATGAAACGGTGTTCAATGCTGATTTTTTTTCAAGCAAACTCAAGAAGGAACCCCTCAAAAAACTAGATTACAGACGTCAAATTATAACTCTTAATTGAGGTTTTTGCGATTCGCAGAGGATCTATGAAAAGCTATCAGACCTACAGGTCAGCATTGAACACGTGACCGAAAAGGTTTAGTGCTTATTTTTTATCTTGATCTAAGCAATTCGCAAATGGGACCGTTTATCTTTCTAAAATTCAACTCTGCACAGAGGACGAACGACCGTTTTTTATCAGTTTCTTATCGCTAAACCGAATAAGGATTATTTAGGTTCCCTGAAGAGAATTTAATTGGTACATCCTATTAAGTGTCGATACCAGGAAGCCCGATGATCTATTTCCCGTTTGATTAAAACCACACGGAAAGAAATGACTATTCCTAAATGTCGCGGCGCCGTTGCATTTTTTTGTAACAAGACTTAATTGAATGTAGAAATGAGCTCCATTTTAGGTACCTAACTATTCTTTTTTGAAGCCACTGCATCGGTTGACGAAACAAAATAAAGTGCGTCAATTTTATGAAACTTAGAAACTTGGCAACTAATTAACAGCCAAAACTACGTTCGTTCTTCTAACGTCATCTTCTGAAAGTTTTCAAAGTTTAAAAAAATGCATTTTTTTCTGAATATTGAGCGTTTTGTCCAGGAACAAAAGAATTACGCGGCTCCTTTTTCCTTCTTTTCTGCCTAATTGGGCAATTTCCCGTTTTTTTTTCATAATAGCTTGTAAGTTAAATGAGGACGTTTTTTAAGAAGAGCGAGAAATTTTGCAAACGCGTTTTGCCTAATTCTGAATTTTCAGGTTATTTCAGATTGTGAGAGCCTTCTGCATAATACAAAAATGAAAAACTAAATTTTTTGGCTCTGTGCTTCTTTTTTTTGACAGAAACGACATCTTGGACAGTGGTGGATTTAAGGGTGGGTGTACCCCCTTTCTTCAGGGATTGGACCCCCTCACCAACCAAAGGGTCCCCAATTTGTTATTATTTCTTTTCATCTATTTTCAGCCGACCAATCCGATTATTTCAAGATTTTTGGATGAAAGTCTTTTGCTCAAATTCATGCGCGGAAAATGTTTTATCAGTTTTATTTGATGTTTTTATCGAAAAACTCAAATGTTTCTTTTTCGACTTAAAGTTGCGCGTTTTTGTCAAAATATCCGCCGGATTCATTCCAACCAGCTTATTTTCCTTGGTTAGCTCTATTACTTCCAGCTTTTGAAGAAAATGATGAAATACTTGTGCTCGGGTGGTTTTCTTGCTATTACCACGTCAGCTGAGATTTAATTTTTATTAGAAATTGTTCCAAAATGAATTGAAGCAAAGCTTTTGGTTCATTTAATACTTTTATATTTCCGAAACATATCACTTTTTTACTTAAGATAACGTGTGAAGGGATGGTTTTTCATCCAAATCTCAAACTGAAGTTTGAGTTTTTGCATGTTTTAAAAAGATTAATAGTTTTTGGAACCAAAATTAAACCCAAAGAGCTTAAAAAGCGGTCAAAATGTTCAAGGTTTTGCTCTAATACCAGGCAGTCTTGCTTACTTTGTTAAACGAAAACATTGAAGAATCTATTTGAAAGATATGCGTAATGGGAGGTGGCCTTTATGAGTGGGAGACCGTATGCTGGAAAGTTAGTTTCAGCCAACAAGGAATTATCATTTAAATCTGTAAGGAATTGAAAAAATCTTAAAGCAAATGAATCCAGACAATTAAAAATAATAATGACCGATTATATACTCCTGAGATTCAAAAATTTTGAAAAGTCGCAAAAATCTTTATAATCTAAGAAAACAGATTTAGCGAATCAAAATTAAAACAAAATACTCCTTTTATATCTGCTCGAAACAGCAAATATGTCCATTATTCGGTCCCTCCATCATGAGAAGAGTACCTTCCACTTGATTTACTTTTTCTTTCTCGATCTTTTGAATTACAATTGAAAACTACCTAAGCTTTTTTCTTTCAAATTTATGTCTGTTCCATTGTCAAGAGGCCAAATATTTTACTGGTAAGGCGCACAGTTTGGAGTTTTGTATCTGTAGGTCACTAGAACCCAGACACAAGTCGTTAAACATGCTCCAAATTGTAAGTGGAATCCACTTAAAAACTTCCTCGCACAAATACTTTAACGTAATTTTTGTCGGCACATTAATTTTGTCACGGATTCAGCAACGAGCGAATAGAACCAGCTGTTCTGGGTTCTGCAAATTTAAGCAGATCGGGGACAAAAACTGTAAACGACCTGTTGTGGAATCCGCTTAAGTTTCACAAAATTCACAGTTTGGCCTCATAATGGTAATTATAAATCGGTGAGAGGCAGAACAAAAAATCAACGGTTCCAAGAAGCATCATTTTGCGGCACTTTAGAACAGTTCTTCAGTTTCGGCACTGTTTTACTTCGGCACTGTTGAACGCTTTCATCGGTGATTTCAAAACTAACGAGGCAGAAAACTTAAGGCCCAAATATAATTTGTACATGCCCACTTTAATAGACATTGGATAGAAATACGGTGGAGATTTTCTTAGTTGCTTTTTTTCTGTATTTGGAGCAGTGTCGTCTAATTAGTGAATATTTTTGATGTTTCATTCGGTGATGATGCTTCAACTTTGGGGGTATTAAAAAGACAAGTAACTCTCAAGCACAATCTTTTCACAAAGCCTTTTTTCAATTTCTAAATATCCCTTGCGTCAGAAAAAATTGGATATGCTGACGGTTTAAGCTTAACTGAAAGCCATAGTTATTGAAAAATGTAATTAAAAGCGGAGAATTTGAAGATTTGGGTGAACGTAGATTAAAACGGACGAGTCTACATGGCAATTAAATTTGACACGGTTCAATTAACTCCAAAAGTGTTCCTACTTTTTGTTTCAGATTGCATAATCCCATGGAGTAGTGATTCTCTTTTTTATTATTCACTTCGGTATAATTTTCTGAGGGGTTAAAATGGCTCGAAACCTCAGAATCAGGAAAAGTGCTGGACCAAAACTGACTCTTGAGAAAAATTGAGAAAAAAATTACCATAATTATAAAATTAGCATTTCACGTATTCGCCAGAACCTCTTTTTTTATACTTTGCGTCGTCACATTTTCACAATTTCTACGTCAGTAACTCAGTTTTGGAAAACCTTTCAAGCGTTTTTCAAAATGGATTTTTATTTGCACAACAATCTGCTCGATGACTTTTCCCTCTATTTGAGCGAACCAATTTTGTTTTAATTACAATGTAGAGTGGGGTTTTTATTTGCGAAAAAATATTTTCAAAAGTGGGCATCAAACCAGCATATAAAATAATTACCCTTAGACCAAATTCAGTTCAAATTTGAAAATGAACTTTAATTGAGACGGGTTAAAGATTTTGTATGATGGTATATAGTTTTCTAAAATAAAATCAGACCTGGATTGATATTTTTGCGACATTTCATCATTATTTGCTTCTCTGATTTTGTTCATTACCAAAATCTGTTCACGTCTCAGTGCTAATTTTCCGCCAATTAAAAACTCCGCCTTCATTTTCCAATAAATCACTTCGCCGATTCAAGCCGATTAAATTTATTGAGAAATATTCAATAAGTTTTTTTTTCAATTTTTTATCAGCAACCTCAATCTATCCTAGCCTATTCTATCAATGCCATTGGCCATATTTTGCGCCATACTTTTTAGTAATCTGCTTTTTTCTTATTGTCAAATAAAAACGATTCAACTGAAACTTTAGTGGAAGATAGATATATTTCATCAGATAACGAAAGACATTACAAAAAGACTTTAAATATTTCAATGTTTTGTTTCCCTATTTTATTTTTAAAAAAAACTTGACGATGGATAGTTCTCTTTTTCCCCAGCCAACCCAAATATTCTCTCTTTTTCTACTCCATCAATCCATTTTCAAACTACAACTTCCTTTACTTTAAAAGAAAAACAGTTTAACGAAAAGCAAGTGCTTGCAAAACAGAAGCCATTAAAGAAGGAGACGAAAAAGCCACATTTGAAAACATTACCAATTTGAACTCCCCTAAATTGGAAATCAAATTTCTAAATTCTCCTAAATTGTTTCGTTATTGTCTGAGCAAACAAAAACAAATTAATTTTTTGCTTTAATATTTAACCGCATTTAGCATTTCTTTTCTTGATTTGCCATCAGCTAAATTTGAAGCAAGATAAAATTTGAATTGATTTCATCTAATCTCTTCTGTAATTTAACTAATGCTTAACTGCAATTCACCTTCAGTTGAGGTGGTTAAAATCCTTTGAAATCGGATCATAGTAATCCCTCAACATCAACGATGACTGAAAATCTTACTGCCGCATCGAATATATCGGAGTTCGACTTGGACCCTGAGTCGGGTACTTTTATTTTCGCAGACATCTTTTCACCAATTTTAATCATTATTTTCTGTGCTATTGGAATCTTCGGAAACTACCAAGTTATTCATTTCTACCGAAACAAAACTAACAAAACACCCAGCGAGTATATAATTATGAATTTAGCTTCTGTAGATTTGGTTTACTGCGTTTTGAGTTTGACCTTTGACCTTTCGTTGAGAATTGTTCGTCCCGACTGGGAAAAGCTGGCGGAAAAAGCGATGATAGTGAATGCGGCTATATGGGCCATCCCCCCTTCTGTGTTTACATTCATAACTACCTACTCATTTGTGTGTATTTTTGTAATCACTATCAATCGATACTTTGCCGTGTGCCACTCCCAAGCATATAGGTAAGAACTTAAATTTTAATATTTGATCGACCCAGTTGTCAATCACGATGACACTCAAAACAAGAAACTTTAAAAGACTCATTTCTTACTATCAACCATTTGCAGATTTTTTTAAAAACCCAAAGTTTGCAAACGGTTATTTATAATATTTGTCCGACTTTCTAGTATAAACCCGCAAAAGCTTTTAATACCTGTATTGTCGAAACAGATCAGACGCCGGACGAAAAATTTCTTTCAAATTTTATTAGTTTTTTTTCTTTTTCTTTTTTTTCCACGCAAAACAAGGTACATAAATCCATTGCAGTCGAACAACATTAAATACTTTCAAAAACTTATCTCAGTGTCAAGAAAAACCGGTTTGAAAGTTTGATTTCCAGTCTAACTTCGAGCGAATAAAGCGACCGGGCAGGCCTATTGCTTATAATGGACTTTTTCATAGAAAAAGATAAGCCGTGAAACTTTAATTCATGACTTGAAACTTTAAATTAATTTTTGAAAATTTTTAACACCATTTTGGGAATGAGAAAATTCAAATTTCAAAAAAATCTGCAAAAAAAATTAGGATTTTTGAAACATTTTACAAAAATTCTTAATGATTTTTGTTTTTATATTCATTTTCCAACAAAAAACTGTAGTCCATCTTACCTATTTTATTAAGAAGATCGAAAATGTTAAATTTTTAGGCGTTTGTTTAGATTCTTTTATCACATCATGCACAAAAAACGACACTACATGGTCGGAACCAGAGGCGGATCCAGGATTTTCTCGCAAGGGAGGGAGGGCTAGGGTTAGGGTCGGATTTCAAAAAAAAAGTATATGAAATGTTTGGTCAACCTTTTTAAATTTTTTCTTAGGCCGGCCATTTTGATTTTCTGAGCTCACCCAATCACTAGAAAG